AGTGGACTTTGAGATCATCCCCCACTTGGAGTGCAGCAGGAAGCAGATAGGCACGTAATGACGATGTAAGCCGGGATGAGCAAGGAGCAGAATGTATGCCTCAGAAACAAGTGGGGAACTTAAAGGAGGAGGGGAGGCTAGCAGCCTTCACTTAGGCTCAGAGGTCAATGAGAATGAAGTCTCCGGGCTTGGCAGAATAATATGGACCAATGGACCATGAAAATTATTCCATTAACATCTATTTTACTGCTGTGGCATACAATGAGGAGGCTAAAGGAGGCTGCTCACTGTGGAGGAGATAAGGAAACCTCTCTCTAACTGAAGTCCAGATTCGTGCAATGCCACAGGCTGAGGCTGAGTTTAATGGGCACTGGGATTAATCGCCAGTGATTAATGAGCTCACAGTTTGTGCTGGGCCTTGAAGGTTGAACAGGCTTCTGATGATAAGCAAGGAGGAGAAAACACTCCAGCTAAAGGGGACCACATAAGTAGAGGCTGGGAGGCATGGAGCACCACAAATCCCAGAGACAGAGGAGAGTGGCCAAAACCAGGCATGAGGGGCCAGCAAGGGTAAGTAAAACTAGACAAGCAGATGGAGGCAAGATTCGGAAAGACTACACATATTCATACCATACCAAGGAGTGCTTTGTAGGAAATAGTCATCAACAGTTTTTGAAAATGGGTGAGACATGATTAAATCTGTGCTTTAGAAAGAATACCAGATGGAGTGCAGAAGCCTAAGGAGGGAGCAGGGCTGGTCAGGAGACTTCTGTAGCAGCCCAGGCCAGAGACAGCACAGGCCTGAGCACGGTGGTGATCTGAGGAAGAGCAGGGTGAGGAGGGGCGGTCCCCCAGAGAGACAGGGCTTGGCAAGCAGTGCAGGAGGGTGCACTGAACGGCTTGCAGCAGTGTGATTGGGAGCAGGTGGCACCATCCACAGACTTATGAAGGTGAGGGTCAGGTGTGGTGGCTCATGCCTATAATCTGAGCACTTTCAGAGGCTGAGGCAAGAGGATCCCTTGAGCCCAGGAGTTCGAGTCCAGCCTGGGAAATATGGGGAGACCCTGTCTCTATTAAAGAAAAAAAAATTTTTTTTAAAAAGAAAAAAGAAAGTCAGCTGGGCGCAGTGGCTCACACCTGTAATCTTAGCACTTTGGGAGGCCAAGGTGGGCGGATCACCTGAGGTTAGGAGTTCAAGACCAGCCTGGCCAACATGGTAAAACCCTGTCTCTACTAAAAACACAAAAAGTAACCAGGCTTGGTAGCACACACATGTAATCCCAGCTACTCTGAAGGCTGAGGCAGGTGAATCGCTTGAACCCGGGGGGGTGCAGCGGCTGCAGTGAGCCGAGATCGCACCACTTCACTTCAGTCTGGGCGAAAGAGCAAAACTCCGTTTAAAAAAAACAAAAAACAAAAAAAAACCAAGTCAGGAGGTAGCCTTAAGTAGGTACAGATGAGAGTGTTCTAGATATAAGGAGAGGGATCAAAGGTGACCAGTTCCTAGCGTGGGTACCTAGATGGTTGCTGAGGCTATCATCCAAACAGAAGGAGATGCACATTTGCTCTAAGAAGTGTTTGACTTTATTTATTTAGAGGCAGGGTCTTGCTCTGTCGCCCAGGCTGGAATGCAGTGGTGCGATCGCAGTTCACTGCAATCTTGACTTCCTGGACTCAAGCGATCTTCCCACCTCAGCCTCCCAAGTAGCTAGGACCACAGACGTATGCCACCATGTCCGGTAAATTTTGTATTTTTTTTTTCCAAAGATGGGGTTTCACCATGTTGCCCAGGCTGGTCTCAAACTCCTGAGTTCAAGTGATCTACCTGCCTCAGCCTCCCAAAGTGCTAGTATTGCAGTGTGAGCCACCACACCCAGCCAGGTTTGATTTTAGATGCGGCAGGGTAAGGTTCCTAAGAGTTGAAGTTTCAAAATCAACTTTATCAAGGTATAATTCATATATTGTAAACTGTACTAATTTGAAGTATATAATTTCATTAATTCTGACAAATGTATATACTTGTGCAGGGCCAGGTTCATGGGCTGTTTGACCCCAGTGATCACACAGAGTCCTATTTTTTTTCTTTTTTTGAGAAGGAGTCTTGCTCTGTCACCCAGGCTGGAGTGCAGTGGTGCAATCTTGGCTCACTGCAACCTCTGCCTCCCGGGTTCAAGCAATTCTCCTCCCTCAGCCTCCCAAGTAGCTGGGATTACAGGCGCCCACCACCATACCTGGCTAATCTTTGTATTTTTTAGTAGAGATGGGGTTTCACTGTGTTGGTCAGGCCGGTCGTGAACTCCTGACTGCAGATGATCCACCCGCCTCGGCCTCTTAAAGTGCTGGGATTACAGGCGTGAGCCACCGCGCCTGGCCAAGTTCTACTCTTAGAAGGGCCACATGCTTGGGGTTTAATGCTCTGAGTTTCACAGTGTGAAAATTTCTTAGTAATTTTACCTTTGAATTTGTGTTTTATCAATGAAATCCGATGGGAAAATGGAAAATGGAGCATGTTGGGGGAAGGGGGTTGGTGCCTTAGCTCCTGCTGAGTCTCACCTCATCACCCCCCACTACCCCCAATCCCCACCCTCACCCTACCCCACCCCCACCCCCATCTCGGGCAGGGCATGGCAGTATCCCAGCACATTCAGAGTGAGACATGCGAGTGTCCCATCCACCACAGTCATGACACCGAGCACATCCTGGCACAGAGGGTGCAATCCCTCGAGGGTCACCCTCTGCTATGGGAAGACAGCTAGGAAGGGGAGTGTTCCCGTACCCAAGGAAACACATTAAACAGTAAATAAAAACAGCATAACAGGTTGATAGAGACTGCAGAGAAAAGGAAAGCATTCTAATTTAGTGCCTTTAGTGGCACTTTTCTCTGCTTCTTCCTGTTTTCATTTTGTACTGAGCCATGCAAATGATGCACCAGCCCTGCACCTGTGTAACTACCGCCACAATCAGGATGGAGAGTATTTCCATTGCTCCGGAATTTTCCTCTTAGCGCACTGCAGAGTCAATCCTCCCCCACCCATGGCACACCTCAACCACTGATCTACTTTCAAGACAGCTGAGTTTTAAAACTTGTAGCAGGAAGCCGGTGCAGTGGCTCATGCCTGTTATCCCAGTGGGAGGCCAAGGCAGGCGGATCACCTGAGGTCAGGGTTCGAGACCAGCCTGGTCCCTATCTCTACTAAAAATACAAAAATTAGCCGGGCGTGAGAGCACATGCTTGTAATCCCAGCTACTTGGGAGGTTGAGGCAGGAGAATTGCTTGAACCCAGGGGGCGGAGATTGCAGTGAGCAGAGATCATGCCATTGCACTCCAGCCTGGGCAACAGAGCAAGACTCCATCTCAAAAAAAAAAAAAAAAAAAAAAAACAAAAAAAACAACCTTGTAGCAGGGCTCTGGATCTCCGATCTGGAGCTCAGGAAAAGCAGGAATGGAACAGATTTGGGAGTGATCCCATAGGGGTAACCTTGGGAGAGCTGAGATAACCCAGAGAAGTGTAAGCAGCTGGGGTGGGCCGGCTCCATCCAGGGATGAAGACAGGGGCAAGCTGAGAAGAAACTGCAGGTGAAAGGCAGGAGAATTTGCCATATCCAGGGCATATGGACTCATAAGAAAAACTCACAGACATATTAAAAGTAGTTGGAAGTTGGGTTTGCTTTGTTAATGAAGGATTAGGGAAAGCATATGTAAGAGAACCTAGAACATAAACACTCCTCTTTGGAAGCCAGTTCGTCTTTCAGGAGAAAAAAACAAAACACCTCATCCTTGCAGAGCCTTCCAGGACCCTACTCCTGCTTCCTGGTCTTGCCTCCTCCTCCTCTCCCTAATTTTGGCATAATTGACTGCTCCTTGTCATCCAGATGTGTTTTAATGTCACCTCCTCAGAGAGGCCTTCCTCAGTCAGCAATCTAAAAGAGCACCCAGTGGTCACATCAATTTAATGCAATATGCCATACTGTCCCTATCACTTTTAATGTCTGCCAGGCCCTCCATTTCAGCCTCGACCACCTCCCCCAAATCACCGCTTAAAAGAACAAGGACTTTGCCTCATTCAGAGCTCAATTTCCAGTGCCTGGAAGAGTGTCAGGCACGTGGCAGAGGCTCAATAACTGTTGAATAAAAAGCAACAACAGGCCGGGCGCGGTGGCTCACGTCTGTCATCTCAGCACTTTGGAAGGCTGAGGCGGGCGGATCGCCTGAGGTCAGGAGTTCGAGGCCAGCGTGACCAACATGGCGGAACCCCGTCTCTACTAAAAACACAAAAATTAGCCAGGCATGGTGGTACGCATCTGCAATCCCAGTCACTCAGGAGGCTGAGGCAGGAGAATGGCTTGAACTTGGGAGGCGGAGGTTGCAGTGAACCGAGATTGTGCCACTGCACTCCAACCCCGGGCGACAAAGAGAGACTCGGTTGGAAAAAAAAAAAAAAAGGAATGACAAGTCATAGAAAAGAATGAGTCGTACCACCCAAAGTGTAGCCTTCCCCTGAGGGGAGTGAGGCTGGAACTGTACCGACTGTACCTTTCTTGCCCAGTCCTACTTGCACATGAACTCCCTCCCCACCCCTTTAGTCTCTCGGGCTCTTACTCTGTTTACCTGGCTCTTTTGCAAACATTTCCCATGATATTCTCCCTTCACCGTCATAGTCCTTATGCTCGTTTTCCAAAAGAGGTTCTCCGATGATTTCTCCCAGGTCGGCCGAGTGAACCGCCTAGCCTGTGCTCTCACGCCAGCGCCACCCCAGTGGGAGAACAGCCCGCGCCCGCCCCTTCGCCCCGCGCGCGCCGCTCCGGCAGCCCAAACCCAGACGCTACAGCGCCAAACTGGGGTTCCGGGTGCTGGAGGCGGTGGTCGGCCTCGTGCTAAGTGAAGGCCCAGCCCGCGCGCGCGGCCCGGGAACCCACCTCCTCTCACCCTCAGCGCGCGGCAGTGTTGCCCTGGCAACGGTTACCACGGCGAGGCCCTGCCCCACGCCCGGCGATTGTGCGCGCGGCCCCGCCCCCGAGGCGCACGCCGGCCCAGCGCCCACAGCTGCTGCGGCCTAGGTGCCGCGTGGGACGAGCAGGCGCTTAGCGTCCAGGCGGCTCCGCGGCTGGGGGCTCCCTGAGCCGGCCGCGCTCCTCCGAGCGAGGCGTGGCGCGGAGGCGTAGTGAGGCCGGGCCCGCGGCGGTTCCCTGAGGAGGGCGGAGAAGGGGCCGGGGGCGCTAGGGGAACGGGCCCTGGGGCAGCGGCCCCGGTGGATGCTAAGGGCTTTGGGATCCGGAGTCCACCACGCCTGCCTGCTCGGCTGAGAATCGCCATGGTAATCCCCGTCTCCCTAAAGTACCGGGGGCCCGGGCGCGCGCCGTGGAGCCCTAGGCTGTCCCGGAGAGGCGCGGGCGCCGAGGTCACCGCCTCTCCCTGGGGGCGACCTCAACGCTTGGCAAAAAGATGGAGGGACAAGGGGTGCCCGGCGGTCCGCGCCTGCTGGAGGCGCAGCAGCCGCGGAGTCAGGCGAGCCCTCTTTCCGGGTTTTAGGTCGTGGCCGTGTTGAGCAGCCCTCACACCCAGACGGTTGATGTGGGAAATAAAGGGAGGGTGGTACTGTGGTGTGGCACCTCAGGGCGCCAGGCCATGCCCACGCCCACAGTGACGGGTCCGGGCTCTTAGCTGCCGTCGCCACCCTGGGTCCCTGCGCGGGATTCTCCGCTGCTCTGCAGACTCAGGAAGCAGAGAGTGAGCCCTCGTGCCACCACCTTTCTGTCAGCAGCATTCCTGTTCTCCGCCCTCATCCAGTCACTTGCGACCTCCTTCCCACCTTCGCTGCTCTTTCCAGAAGGGCTGTGACCTTCCAGGCCCTGCCCCAAGTCCTCAGGGAGGCACCATTGTCTGCTAAACTAAGTACTGCACGCTTGAGCTGGGCGCACAGAGCCCTTGCTAAAGGGGCCTCAACCTCGAGCTTTCTCTGCCATATCTTCTCTGCTAAACAACAACAAACAAAAAGCCCGCATCCCACACTAAACCCGCATTCTTCTGGAAGCCTCTTGCGCCTTCCCTGTCTTGATCCATTTTCTTTGAGATTTGTCTCAGAAGGACCGTGCCTCTTGCTTCCCCATCGCTCCTTCAGCGCCCACAGCCCTTTGCACCTCACCTCTGGTGCTTTGCGTGTTTTTCCTTGGAAAGCTTTACTCCCCATTAGACTCTGGTGTAGAAATCATTAAGTTTCTGTGTTATTTCTAGTTTGTTTGCTGTAAAAGGGTTAAGTAAAAATTTCTTGGTTTAAATTGAGAGTCATTCCATGGTTGCTATTGCCTTTTTTTTTTTTTTTTTTTGAAACGGGGTCTTGCTTTGTCACACAGGCTGGAGTACAATGGTGTGAACACAGCTCACTGCAGCCTCTGGGCTCAAGTGATCCTCCCACCTCAGCCTCCCAAGTAGCTGGGACCGTAGGCGAGCACCACCATGCCCAGCCAATTTTTGTATTTTTAGTAGAGACAGGGTTTCGCCACGTTGTCCAGGCTGGTCTCAAACGCCTGGGCTCAAGGGATCCTCCCGCCTTGGCCTCTCAAAGCGCTGGGATTACAGGCGTGAGCCACTGTGCCCAGCCAATTGCCATTTCTTTCAGGGCCCAGGGAACTGAGGCAGAAAGCTGTACATAGCCATTTAATCAAATGCCACTTAATTCATGCTCCTTGAATGAAGGTCAAACACATTAGTGCACAGAGCCTGCAGAGCGGAACCTTGCCTACCTTTCCTGCCTCAGCTGCTCTCACTGGCCCCCTTGGTTGCCTGTGGGCTGGCCATGTTGGCCTTTTTTGGGTTTCGGTCTCTTTGTGCACCTTCTCTCCGGCCTCAGAGCCTTTGCGTAGGCTGTTGGCCTTGGAATTACCTACCCTCAGCCCACAGGCCACTCTTAGGGAACCCTTCCTTTGATGTCCCAGACTAGGTCAGCCCTTGCCCATCCTGTGCTATTATAATGCCATGTGTTATAGGCATTATAGGGCCTTTCTTTATTAATTTCTTTGTTTTTGTTTATTTTTTTAGAGATAGGGTCTTGCTTTGTTGCCCAGGCTGGAGTGCAATGGCATCATACGTAGCTCACTTTGGCCTTGAATTCCTGGGCTCAAGGGGTCCTCCCACCTCAGCCTCCTGAGTATCAGGGACTACAGGTGTATGCTACCGAACCCGGCTAATTTTTTAAATTTTTGTAGAGACAGGATTTCACCATCTTTCCCAGGCTGGTCTCAAACTGGGTGCAAGTGATCCACCCACCTCGGCCTCCCAGAGTGCTGGGATTACAAGTGTGAATCACCACACCTGGCCAATAGGGCCATTTCTTCACAGCATGGATTGTGAGTAAATGTGTTTGTGATTAGGTGACTAGTGTCTTTCTCAGACCTCACTGAATTGTAAGCATCGTGAGGTCTCTTTTGTTCCCCATCTACTGTGGCCTGCTACACAGTAGATTTTTGTTAAATACTTGTTGAATGAATAAAGGAGGCATCTTAAAATTCAGAAAAGCAGAAATCCACATTTGCTTTCTAAATTCTGTTCTTGCATTGCATCTCAGTTGCGATGTATTCATTCGCTCAGCAGATATTTGTGCATCCTTGCAATGCAGCAGATATAGGTGTAGGCTGGGGAATTCAGTGGTAAATTTATAGACAGATTCTCTGGTGAGGGAAACAAACAATAAACATAAACAGTTACTATTAACTAGTGAAAAGTGCTGCGGTTAAGGAGATGGACAGTGACTCTACTGGGGTTGTTGGGAGACTGTTAAAGACAGACCACTGTACCTACCCCCCGTCCCTAGCCTGGGACAGTCTCAGTTTACGTTTGTTTATATTTGTTGAAGTATCTTGGTTTGGACAATAAATTATATGGTAACTCCAGTTATAGACAGAGTATAGACATAGTGTCAGGGAGGTTTTTCTTCTTACTTTTTCTTTTTCTTTTTTTTTTCTTTCTTTCTTTTTTTTTTTTTTTTTTTTTTTTTTTTTTTTTTTTTTTTTGAGACAGAGTTTTGCTCTTGTCACCCAGGCTGGAGTGCAATGGCACAATTTCGGTTCACTGCAACCTCCGCCTCCCAGGTTCAAGCGATTCTCCTGCCTCAGCCTCCTGAGTAGCTGGGATTACAGGCATCTACCACCATGCCTGGCTAATTTTTTTGTATTTTTAGTAAAGATGGGGTTTCACCATGTTGTCCAGGCCAGTCTTGAACTCCTGACCTCAGGTGATCCACCTGCCTCAGCCTCCCAAAATGCTGAGCCACTGTGAGCCACCATGCCCAGCCCGTCAGGGAGGTTTTTCTAAAGAGGTGATATTTGAGCACAGGCTAGCATAAAGAGAAGCAACAAATTCTGCCCTTTCAATTAGAAGGTCTGCAGGAAGAACAAGCATTGCACAGGGAGAAGCTCGGAGTGTTGGGAACTAGAAGAAAGTCCAGTGTGGCTGGAGTCAAGTGGTCTTCCTTAAGGAGTTTAGAGGGTTTTAAGTTGGGAGCTGCATGTTCTGAGACCAGAAACAGCCAAGAGCCACAAAGTTGTATTGATTCAACCCAAGGAATGGATGGGCCCAGAAACAAACACTCCCATGTAATAATTTCTTAACAGATTTATTGAGGTGGAATGTATATACAATAAATTTTACATGTTTAAAATGCATACTTGACATGGTGGCTCATGCCTGTACACCCAGCATTTTGGGAGGCTGAGGCGAGAGGATAGCTTGAGCTCAGGAGTTCAAGACCTGCTTGGGCAACATAGTGAGACCCTCATCTCTACAAAAAGTAGAAAAAATTAGTTGGGGCCAGGTGCGGTGGCTCACACCTGTAATCCCAGCACTTCGGGAGGCCGAGGCAGGCGGATCACGAGGTCAGGAGATCGAGACCATCCTGGCGAACATGGTGAAACCCCGTCCCTACTAAAAATACAAAAATATTAGCCGGGCGCGGTGGTGGGCGCCTGTAGTCCCAGCTGCTGGGGAGGCTGAGGCAGGAAAATGGCGTGAACCCGGGAGGTGGAGCTTGCAGTGAGCCGAGATCGCACCACTGCACTCCAGCTTGGGAGACAGAGCAAGACTCCATCTCAAAAAAAAAAAAAAAAAAAAAAAAGAAAAAGAAAAAATTAGTTTGGCATGGTGGCGCAAATCTGTAGTCCCAGTTACTCAGGAGGCTGAAGTGGGAGGATCTCTTGAGCCTGGGACATTGAGGCTGCAGTGAGCCTGGGCAACAGAGTGAAACCTGTTTCAAAAAATAAATAAATAAAAATAAAATGCACGTTTTGATAAGTTTGGCAAATGTGTTCATTCATTAAGCCATCACCACAATCAAGATTGTAAACACAGCCATCACCCATTTTTTTTGTAATCTACTTTTCTCTCTTGCCCCTCTCTGTACCCCTACTCCTTCCCAACCTTCCCAGGCAATGACTAGTCTGCCCTCTCTCTAGATTAGTTTATAGTTTCTAAGATTTTATATATACACAGTCATACATTATAGTTTTTTTTTTTATTTTACTGACTTTTTTTACTTGAGTAATTATTTGGAAATTTATCCATGTTGTATCATGTATCAGTAATTATTCCTTTTTAGTGCTGAGTAGCGTTCCGTTGTGTGGTTAAACCATGGTCTATCCGTTCACCTGCTGATGGGCTTTTGGGTTGCCCTTCCTTCCTTCCTTCCTTCCTTCCTTCCTTCCTTCCTTCCTTCCTTCCTTCCTTCCTTCCTTCCCTCCCTCCCTCCCTCCCTCCCTCCCTCCCTCCCTCCTTCCCTCCCTCCTTCCTTCCTTCCTTCCTTCCCTCCCTCCCTCCCTCCCTCCCTCCCTCCCTCCTTCCCTCCTTCCTTCCTTCCTTCCTTCCTTCCTTCCCTCCCTCCCTCCCTCCCTCCTTCCTTCCTTCCTTCCTTCCTTCCCTCCCTCCCTCCCTCCCTCCTTCCTTCCTTCCTTCGCTTTTCTCTCTCTCTCTTCTTCCTTCCTTTTCTTTCTCTCTCTCCTTCCTTCCTTCTTTTCTTTTCCTTTCCTTTTCTCTCTCTCTCTCCTTCCTTCCTTTTCCTTCTTTCCTTCTCTCTCTCTCTCTTTCTTTCTTTCTTTTTCTTTCTTTTTCTTTCTTTCTTTCCTTTCTCAGGATCTCATTTTGTCACCCAGGCTGGAATGCAGTGACATGATTGTGGCTCACTGCAGCCTTGACTTCCTGTTCTCAGATGATCCTCCCACCTTAACTGGGACCACCACACCTAATTTTTTTCTTTTGTGTTTGTTTGTTTGTTTGTTTGTTTTAGACAGAGTCTTGCTCTGTCTCCCAGACTGGAGTGCAGTGGTGTGATCTTGGCTCACTGCAAGCTCTGCCTCCTGGGTTCATGCCATTCTCCTGCCTCAGCCTCCCGAGTGGCTGGGGCTACAGGTGCCCACCACCACTCCTGGCTAATGGGATTTCACCGTGTTAGCCAGGATGGTCTCGATCTCCTGACCTCATGATCCACCCGCCTCGGCCTCCCAAAGTGCTGGGATTACAGGCGTGAGCCACCGCACCCGGCCAATTTTTTTTTTTTTTTTAATATAGGTATAGGGTCCCATTTTGTTGCCGGGGCTGATCTTGAACTTCTGGGCTCAAGTGATCTTTCTACCTTGGCCTCCCAAAGTGCTGAGATGACAGGCATGAGCCCCTGCACTTGGCCTGTTTCCAGTTTTTAGCTATTACAAATAAAGCTACTATGAACATTCATGTAAAAGTCTTTGAGTGAACATATGCTTTTATTTCCACCTTAGGAGTGGAATGGACTGGGTCATATGGTAGACATGTGTTTAACTTTTTATAGAGACTGCAGACTGTTTTTCAAAGTGGTTCTGTCATTTTAGATTTCCATCAGCAGTGTACGAGAGTTTCAGTTTCTTTACATCTTCACCAATACTTGGTAGGATCAGTCTTTTTGACTTGAGCCAGTCCAAAAGGTATGTGGTGGTGTCTCCTGGTTTTCATTGCATTTCACTAATGACTTAACGTTGAGTATCTTTTCATGTGCTTATTTGCCATCTGTATATCTTTTTTGGGGAAGGGTCTATTCAACCTTTGAACATGTTTTATTAAGTGGTTTTCTTACTATTGTGTTTTCAGGGTCCTCTGTTCTCCATATAGGCCTTTATGAGATTTATGATTGGCAGATATTTCCACCAGTTTGATGCTTGGCTTTTCATTGTCTTAATAACATCTTTCGAAGAGCAAAAGCTTTAAATGTTGATGGTGAGTTTATCAAGTTGTTTTCTTGAGTTGTGAAACATTTGCCTAATAATCCAAGGTAGCAAAAGTCTTCTCTATTTTCTTGTAGAAGTGTTATAGTTTTTGGTTTTATATTTAATTCTATTATCTATTTTGAGTTGATTTTTACATATGGTGAAACCGTGGGTTGAGGTTCCTTTTTTTGCAAATGGATATTCATTATTCCAGCACCACATGTTGAACAAGATTATCTTTGCTCCACCAATACCTTTGTTGAAAATTAGTTGATCAAATACGTGTGGATCTATTTCTGGACTCTATTCTGTCCCATTGTTCTAGTTACCTTTCTTGACACCACTATCACACCATCTTGTTACGGTAGCTTTATAATAATTCTTAAAATAAGGTAGTATTAGTCCGCCAATTTTGTTCCTTTTTCTTTCTTTTTTGAGACAGGATCTTGCTCTGTCACCCAGGCTAGAGTGCAGTGGTGCAATCTCAGCTCACTGCAACCTCTGCCTTCCGGGTTCAAGCGATTCTCCTGCCTCAGCCTCCTGAGTAACTGAAATTACGGGTGCCTGCCACCACAGTTGGCTAATTTTTACCAAGTTTCACTGTAGTGGCCAGACTGGTCTCAAACTCCTGACCTCAGGTGATCGACCTACCTCAGTCTCCCAAAGTGTGAGGATTATAGGCATGAGCCATTGCACATGGCCGGTTCTTTTTTATAAGTCCTTCACTTTTCCATGTGAATTTTGGAATCTTCCACAAAAAGATGAGAACTTTGAAAATAATGTCAAACCTTTATCTCACATCCTTTGCATTTCCATATGAATTTTAGAATCAGTTTGCCATTTTTGTACAATAAGATGAGAACTTCAAATAAAAATGTCAAACTCTTATGCGAATTTTAGGTCCCAAACCATTTTAAAGATTAAAACACATTGAGTCAAGTGTGGTTGGCATGCAAAAAAGTACAAGGTCATAAAGAAACGAAGACCCAGGCCAGGTGCGGTGGCTCATGCCTATAATCCCAGCACTTTGGGAGGCCGAGGCGGGCAGATCATGTGGTCAGGAGTTCAAGACCAGCCTGGCCAACATGATGAAACCCCATCTCTACTAAAAATACAAAAATTAGCCAGGCTTGGTGGCAGGCATCTGTAATGCCAGCTGTTGGGAGGCTGAGGCAGGAGAATTGCTTGAACCTGGGAGGCAGAGGTTGCAGTGAGCCAAGATCATGCCATTGTACTCCAGCCTGGGCAACAAGAGCAAGACTCCGTCTCAAAAAAAAAAAAAAAAAAAAAAAAAAAAAGGAAGGGAAAGAAAGAGAGAGAAGGAGATAGAGAGAGAGAGAAAGAAAATCAAGACCCAAAGTCTTTCAGAGTTTCTGCTAAAATGTACATCCCATACCTGATGGGGTTGTTTTACCAGGAGAATGCAGTTAAAAGAAGAAAGGGAGGGAGGGAGGGAAGGAAGGAAGGAAGGAAGGAAGGAGGGAGGGAGGGAGAGAGGGAAGGAGGGAGGGAGGGAGGGAAGAAAGGGGGGCGGAGGGAAAGAAGGAGAGTGAGAGAGAGAGAAAGAAAGAAAAGAAAAGAAAAGAAATCAAAACCTAAAGTCTTTCAGAGTGTCTAGTAAATTGTACATCCCATACCTGATGGGGTTGTTTTACCAGGAGAATGCAGTTAAAAAAAGAAAGGGAAGGAAGGAAGGGAGGAAGGGAGGGAAAGAAAGAGAAAAGAGAAGAGAAAAGAAAAGAAAGGAAAAAAGAGGAAATAAATCAAGACCCAAAGTCTTTCAGAGTTTCTGGGAAAATGTACCTCCCATACCTGATGGGGTTATTTTACCAGGAGAATGCAGGTACATAGGATTTTCATGTGGATTCTGCATTGCAAGACATGTCTCATTTTCATTACTGGGTTTTGTATCTAGGAATGTACTCCATTTCACCTAGCAAAAATGTGTTTTAGTAGGTTTTTTTTTTTTAGATGGAGTCTCTGTCACCAGGCTGGAGGGCAGTGGTGCGATCTCAACTCACTGCAACCTCCACCTCCCGGGTTCAAGCAATTTTCCTGCCTCAGCCTCCTGAGTAGCTGGGGTTACAGGTGTGCGCCACCGTGCCTGGCTAATTTTTGTATTTTTAGTAGGGATGAGGTTTCACCATGTTGGCCAGGTTGATCTCGAACTCCTGACCTCATGGTCCACCTGCTTCAGCCTCTCAAAGTGCTGGGATTACAGGTGTGAGCCACCATGCCCAGCCTATTTTAGTAGTTTTAACACATGAACCATGTTCCTTTTTGTTTAACTTGGGATATTTTTCGACTGCAATGCTGTGAATAGGATACCTATTTTATATAAATGGTTACCCTTGCAGGTGTCCTTGAACATTTATACCTTCCTCTCCTCTCCCTTGCCTACAGGAGACACTTTTTAATAATATACTTCCGTCTGTTATTTTCTGTATGTGTGGGTCAGAGGACATAGAGAAGTTCAACTCAGTTTTGTGCAGCTCTAGCAAATATAAATGTAAAACCAAAAACTATAACACTTCTAGAAGAAAATATAGACGATGTTTGTTACTTGGGTTAGGCAAAGATTTCTTGGGTATGACAAAAGCACAATCCATGAAAAACAGGTTGACAAGCTTGAAGTATAATAGTGTATTTCCAGATTAGGATGGTATCCATTCATTTTCCCAGAGAACACTGACCTTATGGGGTACTCATAGAAAGAGAATAGACACCAAGCCTGGTGGATGCTGGTTTCTGTGTGCTGGGTAGCCTAACTGAGCCCCTACATTTCCATTTTGAAGGCAGGAGTAATACCTAGAAATACAGCTCTGCCAGGTGCGGTGGCTCACGCCCGTAATCCCAGCACTTTGGGAGGCCGAGGCGGGTGGATCACGAGGTCAGGAGATCGAGACCACTCTGGCTAACATGGGGAAACCCCATCTCTACTAAAAAATACAAAAAATTAGCCGGGCGTGGTGGCGGGCACCTGTAGTCCCAGCTACTCAGGAGGCTAAGGCAGGAGAATGGTGTGAACCCGGGAGTCAGAGCTTACAGTGAGCCGAGATCACGCCACTGCACTCCAGCCTGGGCGACAGAGTGAGACTCCATCTCAAAAAAAAAAAAAAAAAAAGAAAAAAAGAAATACAGCTTTGAGTGTTGGTGGTGTTACAGATGATGGCACAGGGGCACAGTGGCTCAAGTCTGTAATCCCAGCACTTTGGGAGGCCAAGCTGGGAGGCTTGTTTGACAGGAGTTCAAGACCAGCCTAGGCAACATAGCGAGACTGTCTCTACAAAAAAAAAAAAAAGAAAAAATTAGCCAGAAATGGTGATCCTGTGATCCCAGCTACTTGGGCGGCTAAGGTGGGAGGATCGCTTGAGCCTGGAAGGTCGGGATTATGGTAAACTGAGTTTGTGTCACTGCACTCCAGCCTGGGTGACAGAGCAAGACCCTTTCTCCAAAAAAAAAAGGAAGGTGACGACAATCATCATTTATTGAGTAATTATCTCACATCAGACATGGTGCTAAGTGTCTTTTTTTGGGGGGGGGGGGCGAGGGGGAGGCAGAGTCTCACTCTAGCCCCCAGGCTGGAATGCAGTGGCATGATCTTGGCTCACTGCAACCTCTGGCTCCTGGGTTCAGGCAATTCTCCTGCCTTAGCCTCCTGAGTAGCTGGGATTACAGACACGTGCCACCACGCCCAGCTAGTTTTTGTATTTTTAGTAGAGACAGGGTTTCACCTTGTTGGCCAGACTGGTCTTGAACTTCCTGACCTCAGGTGATCCGCCCGCCTCCGCCTCCCAAAGTGCTGGGGTCACAGGCATGAGCCACCGCACCTGGCCTGTGCTAAGTATCTTATATTTGTGTCTCATTTAAACCTCATGACTGCTTAATGAGGTAGAGACTACTTGTGAAACAAGTGCCAACATACATATTTGCATCCTGATTATCAAACTTATTTTAAATTTAATGTGTGTTATGAAAATTTCCAAACATAAATGAAAATAGAATTGTAAAGTAAAATCCTCATATTCATTTCTCAGATTCAGAAATGAGTAGGACTTTGCCACATTTACTTTATCTGTTTTTTCTGGGTGGGGGGCAGTGGGGGAGCTGCAGTGTTTTACAGCAAACCTCAGGCCTTCTTTGATTTCATCCCTGCAGATTTCAGTGTGTACTTCAGAAACGTGTGAACATTTTCTTCTGTGATTTGCTGCCATTGTCAGACCTAACAGAATTACTAATAATTCCTTGTCATGATCAGATTTCCCTGATTAACTCAAAGACCTCTTTTTGCAGCTTGTTCAAATAAGAATGCAAACAAGGGCCACACCTTGCATTAGGTTGGGTCTCTTTTAATCAGGGTGCTTAATAAACATTTGTCAAATTAGATTGCATGTGACTTTCAGAAATTATTATAATTCTGGGTCGGAATTAAGCTGCTCTCAGAAGGCAGTTCTAGTTGCATTAATTGTTTTCTTTTGCCAAAGGGGGTTTGTCATTTAGAGAAGACATGACAATGCAAACTGTTTGTTGTGGCTGCTGTTTTGACTTATTTCCTTTTAGGAATTTTTTTTCCTTGTTCAATACAGAAATACTGAAAATGATACCAAGTTTATGAAAACTAACTCAGCCTGGCACGATGACTCACACCTGTAATCCCAGCACTTTGGGAGGCCGAGGTGGGCAGATCACTTGAGGCCAGGAGTTTGAGACCAGCTTACCCAACATGGTGAAACCCTGTCTCTACTAAAAGTACAAAAATTAGCCAGTTGTGCTGGGGCACACCTATAATCCCAGCTACTTGGGAGGCCAAGGCAGGAGGATCACTTGAGCACGGGAGGCGGAGGTTGTAGTGAGCCAAGAGCATGTCACTGCACTCCAGGCTGGGTGATGGCAGTGAAACCCTGTCTCAAAAAAAAGAAAAAACAAAAACTAACTTCCCTCCTCCCATATTTATATTTGTCTTTGAAAGCCAGCTAAAGGGAAAAAAGGAAAAGGCCAGGGCAAGTCTCATGGGAAGAAACAGAAGAAACCAGAAGTGGACATTCTCAGCCCCGCGGCCATGCTGAACCTCTACTATATCGCCCACAACGTCGCTGACTGCCTACACCTGCGAGGCTTCCACTGGCCGGGTGCTCCCAAAGGAAAGAAAGGGAGAAGCAAGTGACAGCATTTCACAACACATCTCTGTTACAGAGAACAGGGCTTGGGAAAGAGAAGTCAGGATAACACAACTATTGCCAGCAACATAGACTTTACTCCAGACCACTTGAGATGCAAATTAAGTGTGCTTTTCTGTGATGGTTGATGATGGGGAAATGCACCTTACTTCCTCTGTTATGCCAGATATGGTTAGCCACTTTGGTTTTTTAGGAGTTATAGGGTGAGAAAAGCCTGAGTAATTCCTACACAGTGTGGTGAAATTAATAGAACTTTCAGAAATTATTATGATTCTGGGTCAGAATTAAACTTTGCTCCCAAAAGGCAGTTCTAGTTGCATTAATTGTTTTCTTTTGCCAAAGAGGGTTTGTCATTTAGAGAAGACACCACAAAAAGCACTGGGTTTCCTTAGGAACATTGCTCTCTTGGGCACTATTTCCTTTTTTTTTTTAAATGGAAAATAATAAATACTTTGTTTCTATAATTTTCTTCTCAGCAGTCTGACTCTGTTTGATTTGAATTAGCCACAGGCTCCGCGGATGCTAAGATGGTCACGAATGCTCTGACCCTGCCAGTCCTGCAAGCAGATGGTGAGAAGTGGCTGACAGTTGTGAAATGGCTGGGTGCAGGGCAAAGGGGGCAAATCCGCCCATCCCTTTCTTTTTTCTTTTATTTTTCGGACAGAGTATTGCTCTGTTGCCCAGGCTGGAGTGAAGTGGCGAAATCTCAGTTCACTGCAACCTCTGCCTCCTACGTTTAAGCGATTCTCCTGCCTCAGCCTCACAAGTAGCTGGGATTACAGGCGCACGCCATCAGGCCAGGCTAATTTTTAAATTTTTAGTAGAGACAGGATTTCACCATGTTGGACAGGCTGGTCTCGAACTCCTGACCTCAGGTGATCTGCTCGCCTCAGTCTCCCAAAGTGCTGGGATTACAGGCATGAGCCACTGTTCTCACCTCGGCCTCCCAAAGTGCTGGATTACAGGTGAGAGCCATCACACCCGGCCATCCCTCTTTTTTCCCTATTTCACCTGACTCTTCTCCCGCCTCCCCTCCACACTCTATTTCTTCCCACCTTCTGCATACTTTGTTAAACTTGGCTGGCCCCGAGTTACAGAATTGGTGCCAGGCACTTGCCCCGGGCATTCGGCTGATACTCTGGGATCTCCCTAGCCCTGTAAGGAGACGCCTAAGAGGTGAAACTGCAGTTCTTTCTCCTCGGCCCAGAGGCCTGAATTCTCCAGATGTGAAAGCCAGCGTTTTGTAAGTGTGGACGCCGTCTCTGACTCCCTGAGCACTCCATCCCTGCTTCCTGCTCTGTCTTCCTGCCTCTTCCTGCCCCTCCCCAGCCCCTGCACTGTTGTCCCCATTCACCGTTCTGAGCCCAAAGCTGACACACTCTAGGCAGCACCTCCGGGGATGTTCTAGTTTGTGGGAATTATAATTATGCTGCAGGTGGCCTTGTGAGGATTGCAAGGATTCATGAGGTTTGCTAAGGGAGGCTGTAACTCAGGACTCAGGCTTTCATATGCATCAGAGAAAAAAAGGAAGCTCCATGAATCTCTGCGCTAGAGAAGCGGGGTGTCCGTGACCCACATCAGCCTGTTAGGAACAATATTGTCTACCTGCACCACCTGTGCAGTTTCCATAGAAGCCCTTGGCCAGTTGCCAGAGGAGCCCTCACTTGGGTGAATCTGAAGGGAGGTCTCCTCTGCTCTCTGTTTTCTGGCTTTGGAGACAGGGAGCACCTTCCCACCCTGTTAGGGACTGCTGAACTCCTAACTCCAGTGCAGCAGTTCTCACACTTGAGCGTGCCTCTCGATCACCTAGAATACTTGGCCAAGTGCAGATTGCTAGGCCTTACCCCCGCAGAAAGGATGGGCTCAGGGATTTGTGTTTCCAGTACGTTGGCAGGTTATGTTGCTGCTGCCCAGCCACACAGGTAGAGAACCACCGCTCCAGAATGCTGCCTACCCAGAAGCTAAAAGGCTTGTGGAATCCGAACCTGTAGGATGTATAACGTCCTTTCCTGCCTCACCCGGGTTCAGGAGCTTCTATTTGAGCAGTTGGTTATGGGAAGGTTGGGGAGAAGGCACCTGCAGAGCTTCCTTTTGATCCCTGACTGCCCGCACCTGCAAGGCTTCCATTGGCCAGGTGCTGCCAAGGGAAAGAAAGGGAGAAGCAAGACTTAAGTGACAGCGTTTCACAACACATCTCTGTTACAGAGAACAGGGCTTGGGGAAGACAAGTCAGGATAACAACTATTGCCAGCAACATAGATTTTACTGCAGACGACTTGAAATGCTGCTCACCTGCAGCACAGATCCAGGCATTTACAGGCTAACAAGGTCTGAAAGCGGCCATGCTCTTCTCTTTTGTGACGATGAAATGATGAGCCAGGACTGTGGTGCTGGAATGGGGGAAGCACTGGTCTGACTGGCTCAGGCACCGTGACTCAAGGCTCACCCCTAGTTTAGCAGACTGGTTGAGGCTGTCTCAGTATCGTGCTCGTTGGAGCCCTGGGGTTCTGAGAGATGCCGTAAGAAATTTTGGGTTCTAATAGCCATGCTCTAGTGTTACCACATATACATAAAGTTATAAACATTACACACTATATAAAGGTTATGATACATTTTACTTTTTGAGAAATTATTATTTTTATTTTAGTGAAACACTGAACTTAAAACTTTTTTCAACAAAAGCTATTTCAATATATTAATTGAGCATCTATTATGCTTGGCACAAAGACAAGGATAGTACTGGTATGTCTATCCTACTGATCCCTACTGATACGATTTAGCTGTGTCCCCAGCCAAATCTCATATTGAATTGTAGCTCCCGTAATTTCCACGTATTGTGAGAGGGTTTGGTGGGAGGTAATTGAATCATGGGCGTGGTTTTCCCCATACTGTTCTCATGGTAGTGAGTAAGTCTCACGAGATCTGATGGTTTGATAAGCGCTTCCCCTTTCACTTGGCTCTCATTCTGTTTTGTCTGCTGCCTTGGCCATGTGAGACGTGCCTTTCACCTTCCACTGTGATTGTGAGGCCTCCCCAGCCATGTGGAACTGTGAGTCCATTAAACCTCTTTTTCTTTATAAGTTACCCAGTCTTGGATATGTCTTTATCAGCAGCATGAGAACAGACTAATACACTTACCCTCAAGGAGCTTCCAGTCTGGTCAAGAAGGCTACTACCCAGATTAACAGAGGGCAACTAAGTTTCTATTTCAACTTTGATAAAGTACATTCATGGGCCGGGCGCAGTGTCTCAAGCCTGTAATCCCAGCACTTTGGGAGGCCGAGACGGGCGGATCATGAGGTCAGGAGATCGAGACCATCCTGGCTAACACGGTGAAACCCCGTCTGTACTAAAAAATACAAAAAACTAGCCGGGCGAGGTGGCGGCGCCTGTAGTCCCAGCTACTCGGAAGGCTGAGGCAGGAGAATGGCGTAAACCCGGGAGGCAGAGCTTGCAGTGAGCTGAGATCCGGCCACTGCACTCCAGCCTGGGCAACAGAGCGAGACTCCGCCTCAAAAAAACAAACAAACAAACAAAAAAACAAAGATAGAGTACATTCATGATGCAATTTATGAAGGTGATTAAGAGGAGGGTGGGATTAAGACCGCTAGAGGACATCTGGAGGATATCTGATGATAAAATATATCCTTGAACCCTGCTGTTTTTATTTCCCCTAAACCCAAATTGGCAAAAATCCTGATTCTTACTGCTTTTAAAGATTCAAAGAGGAGCTTGTGAAAGGCACAGTGTATTGGGTCATTTTGCATTGCTATAAAGAAATACCTGAGGCGGAGGCAGGCAGATCACTTGAAACCAAGAGTTTGAGACCAGTCCGGCCGACATGGTGAAATCCTGTCTCTACTAAAAATACAAAAATTAGCTGGGCAGCTGGTAGCTCATGCCTGTGATCCCAGCACTTCGGGAGGCTGAGGCGGGCGGATCACAAGGTCAGGAGTCAGAGACGCCTGGCCAAGATGGTGAAACCCTGTCTCTACTAAAAATACAAAAAATTAGTCAGGCGTGTTGGCACACACCTGTAGTCCCAGCTACTCAGGAGGCTGAGGCAGGAGAATCGCTTGAACCCGGGAGGCAGAGATTGCAGTGAGCCAAGATTGCACCATCGCGCTCCAGCCTGGGGGACAGAGCGAGCCTCTGTCTCACACACTCACAAATTAGCTGCACGTGATGGTGCAGCCTATAATCCCAGCTACTCAGGAGGCTGAGGCAGGAGAATTGCTTGAACCCAGGAGGCGGAGGTTGCAGTGAGCTGAGATCTCACCACTGCACTCCAGCCTGGGCAACAGAGTAAGACTCTGTCTCAAAACAAAACAAAACAAACCCTGAGGCTGGGTAATTGATAAAAAAAAAAAAAAGAGGTTTAGTTGGCTCACAGTTCTGCAGGCTGTACAAGCATCACACCAGCGTCTGCTGGGCTTCTGGGGAGGCCTCCAGAAGCTTTTACTTATAGCAAAAGGGTGCAGGCACACCACATGCCTAGAGCAGGAGCAAAAGAGAGAGGATTGTGGGGAGGTGCCACATGCTTTTAAACAACTAGATCTGGCAAGAACTCACTATCTCGAGAACAGCACAAATCCATGCGGGATCCATCTCCATGACTCAAACACCTCCACCAGGCCCCACCTCCAACACGGGATTACAATTCCACATGAGATTTGGGCAGGGACAACTATAAGCAGTGATAGGAAAGTCCACACACAGGCCATGAGGGCTACCTGGAGGAGGCAACAGCTGAAGTGAAGGCCTTGCTGTGAAGCTATGGGGGCTTTTTGTGAGGAAGGCTCTATGCAAGGGAGAGGATGGATACGGGACTTGATGGTTAGAAAGTGGGAGAGAAGTCCAGGTGCAGTGGCTCACACCTGTAATCCCAGCACTTTGGGAGGCCAAAATGGGTGGATCATCTGAGGTCAAGAGTTCGAGACCAGCCTGGCCAACATGGTAAAACCTGTCTCTCCTAAAAATAAAAAAATTAGCTGGGCATGGTGGCGGGCACCTGTAGTCCCAGCTACTCGGGAGGCCAAGGCCAAGGGAGAATCGCTTGAACCTGGGAGGTGGAGCTTGCAGTGAGCCAGGATCACGCCACTGTACTCCAGCCTGGGTGACAGAGTGAGACTGTCTCAAAAAAAAAAAAGTGGGAGAGAAGGGAACAGTGACTACAGGAAAAGAAAAAGTGTCCACTGAGGAGGAAGGAGGACTTGGCAGTCACATGTGGATGGGGCAGACATGTTTTAGGATGGAATTTTCCATTACAAAACTGATGATAGAATCCAGAGAGACAGTGACAAGTGTCAGTGAGGGTGGGAGAAATTGCAACCCTCATGCGTTGCTGGTGGGGATATAAAATGCAGCTGCTGTGGAAAAGAGTTTGGCAGCCACTCAGAACGTAAGTAGAGTTACCATACGGCCCAGCAATTCCACTCCCAGGTACATGCCCAGAGAACTGAAC